AAAAGAACAAGACTTAGAGTTTTTAGATGCTTCAAAGGACGCCAAAATGTCATTTTAGGCTCTGTTGACAAAGATTATAAAAAAATTGTAAGTTATATAAAAAAGAATCAATCACGAAAAAAGTACGCCAAATTATGTTATATAGCAATCAGTGGTTTCAGATAATTTTGAAGAACATGAAGATCTCAATTATTTAGATAAAAATTTTCATCAACTAAAAATACCTGAGAAAGAATTTTTAAATTAGAGGTTAAATGGTTAGTTGTTTTAAACTATATCAATAACAAAGAACAGGGATCACAGCAGCTGAAAATAGGGCCATAACTGAAAATAAAATAAAATGAGTTGGTTGTTTTTTTTATTGCTCAGCAATAAGATTTAGCAGGTAATATAGATAGATTGTCTTTTAACACAACTGCTTCAAAAAATAAAGTACTGTTAGCAAAAAAATTTTTTTTACTTTGAATGCAAACATTACATAAATAATGAATAATTTAAGAAATTCAAGGAAAAATGAAACATACGCATCATTGAAAAATATGACTTCAAATGCTTAGGTGTTAAAGTCAGAAAACTTAAGCTACAGCTAAAATCTGAAAAATTCAATTTCCAGAGACCACCTGAAGGAAAACAATTTTTTACTAAGAAACAATTTAAAGGAATGCACATTCCCAGTGGGCATGCGTCGTCCGGGGGACGTCCATTGGACGTCTTACGGACGTCTGGACGTCCATGAGACGTCCAGCAGACGTCCTCCGGACGACGCTTGCCCACTGGGTTTATGTTAATGATTTATGTTAATTTTACATGGGTAAGTACCAGAAACAGGCGTACCTTGACGCAAGCCTAGGGCCTTTCATCAATCAAGATGGATGTCGTCTATGATATATGCTGCTAAAATGTGCCTCTTAAGAAATTCCATGCGGTATAATGAGGAAAATACTGTCAAGCTGAGAGACATTTACCGTTTTAATGCTCTTGTGTATGTCAAACAATGATTACCATGCCCCAACTTCAAAGTTCTTAACAAGAATACATCAAAAAAGAATATACGAATATTTAAACATCAATTTTAAGTATTTAATTTTAAGTAACAGAGAAGATTAAAGATTTTTCACTGATTTCAAAAAAGTCGTATGACAAAGATAAAAATAAACTCTAATAATACCAATATGTGAGCTGATGCAAGGCGCACCAAATTTATCTGTAATGTCAAAAAAAAACGGGTGAAAAAAGGCTAAAAACTACCGTGCAAATACGCGAGAAGAACGAAGATTATCTTAAAAAATTTATTGATTTAACTTTAATAGTTACCCAAGAGTCCTTGAGAAATACCAATAAACAAAAATTATGTATAAACAAAAATTTTGAAAATCTTCGACATTTTATAGAAGAAACTAAAAACTATTTTGATATTATTTGCTTAATGGAAACTTGGTGTTCACAAAATGAGCTTAATAATAACTCTAATTTCCATCATCCTAATTTTGACACAGTTTTATTAGAAAGACAATTAAATAAACGCGGTAGAGGAATTTTGATTTACATAAAACAAAACATTGCGCATAACGTTAGGAATGATTTGTGCGTTTCTGATGGCGATAAAGAAATTGTTACAATTGAAATTTTAAACAATGAGAGCGAAAAGTTAAAAAGCAAAAGCATTTTACTAAGTTGTTGTTATAGACCACCTGGTGGTGCGTCAGAAAATTTAAGCTTATACTTAAAGCACAACGTTTTTCATAAAGGTAACAAAGAAAAGAAAAAAAACTTTGTAATTGGCGACTTAAATATGGATTGCTTACGATATAGCGAAAACAAAAAAATAAAAAAATTTTATGGTGAAATATTTGTTTCAGGAGCAATACCGCTTATCAACCGGCCTACTCGAATAACAGAAAACTCAACCACCCTTATAGACAATATTTTAACAACAAATATATATAACAATGACATTCAAATAGACATTATAAAATCAGATATATCAGACCATTTCCCCATTTTTCTAACAATTAACACAATTTCAACTCCTAACATTAATAAAAGTCAAACTATAAGAAAACGTATTTTTAACAAAAAAAATTTAGAAGCATTTAAATATCAATTATCATTTTTAAACTGGAAGCATATAAATTTTAATGAAGACATAAATGCAATCTATAATAAGTTCTTTAATATATTCTTCTCAGTGTACAATGCGAATTTTCCCGTTTCCGAAATAACCTTAAAACCAAAAACCTTAAGTAGTCCTTGGATTACCAAGGGTCTCAAAAAATCTTCAAAAATTAAACTAAAAGTGTATATAAAATATTTAAAAACAAAATCTCATGCTAATTTACGCATATATAAAAAATACAAAACTCTATTAAAAAAAAATTCGCAAAAACCTAAAAAAAAAATTATTACTCTAATTTAATCACTAAATATAAAAATGACTCAAAACAAATATGGAAAATATTGAAAGAAATAACGGGAAAACAGAAAACCTGCTCAAATTTCCTTCCGAAAATGATTAAGATAAACAATGTATGTGTATATGAAGCAAATGAAATAGCGAAAGAATTTAATAAATACTTTACTGATATCGAAAGTAGGTTGGCTGATAGGATTCCATCGACAAATATTTCCTTTAATGATTTTTTGACAACTTCAAATAATTTACTTTCTTCCCATGACTTATTCCTAGACTTATCGATTGAAGAGTTTGAAAGAGCCTTCAAATCTTTAAAAAAAAACAAAGCAACCGGTGCGGATGGAATAAACGGGAACATTATTATTGAATGCTATGAAAGTTTAAAAAGTATTTTATTTAAAGTTTTCCAAACATCTATACAGCAAGGGGTTTTCCCTGATCTATTAAAAGTTGCAAAAGTTATCCCGATTTATAAAGAAGGAAAAAAATCAAACGTAAATAATTATCGCCCTATATCTATCCTTCCTACGTTTTCAAAAATATTAGAAAATATTATTTTCGAAAAAACATACAACTACCTGGTTTCAAATAATTTATTGCTTTCTATTAATCTTCAAAATAAAACTTAATTGAAATAAAATGTGGTGTTCCACAGGGTTCTATCCTTGGCCCACTTCTCTTTTTAATATACGTCAACGATCTAAATAAGGCCTCGAATCTTATAAGCATCATGTTTGCCGACGATACCAACTTATTTTTGTCAAACAAAGACATTAACAAACTTTTTTTAGATATGAGTAAAGAACTTAATCAAGTTTCTAACTGGTTTAAATGCAATAAATTAACCTTAAATATTGAGAAAACAAAGTAGATCCTTTTCCACTCCTCAACAAAAAAACGTTTTTTGCCATATGATTTACCTAAACTTTATATTGACAAAGTAGAAATAAAAAAAGATTCTGTTTTAAAATTTCTAGGTATTTATCTTGACGAAAATATGACATGGAAAGCTCATATTGATTATATATCAAAAAAAGTTGCGAAAAGTATTGGTATCCTGTATAAGGCCAGAAATTATCTAAATAAAAATAATTTAAAACAACTATACTACTCATTTATTCATAGCTATATAAACTATGCAAATATTGCCTGGGGAAGTACAGGTAAAAGTAAGTTGCAACGTCTTTACCGCCATCACAAACATGCAATGCGAATAATATAATATGGAAACCACGACATGTAAATAATGTAAACTAAAAAAAAAAAAAACTAAAAAAAAACTAAAAAAAAATAAACGTGATTAATTGGTAAAGTTTACAATATTTTAATTACCATATTAAACTTGCTATTATGGCCAATAATTTTCTGATTATATATTTAAAACAAGACTTAAAAATGAGTTGTTCATTGTTGTAGGAAAATTTATAGATTAAAAACAATTTAAAATGTTTTGAAAATCCGAATTGAAAATATTATTTTTTAAAGTGAGATGGTCTTGGGACAAAGATTAGGGTTAACATTTTAGGTTAAAATTTGGAAATGAGGATTTATAGGCTACCAATCAACAAAAAAGATCCGGGGAGAATGACATTTTTACACTTTGCTTTTTTGAGAACACCCTAGAAATAAGCAACGATATTACAAAAATTACTCTAACATATGCTAATTACATGTGAAATACCAAGAGGGTATGATTAACATGAACTATTTTGTTAGTCTCTTCTCCACTAGTAAGTATCTAAATAATTTTATAAACTTTTTTTTTTATTCAGAAATGGCTACAATGATGTTGGTTTTAATAAACCCTGTATTGTTAAATTTTAAAATTTTTACAAATAAGTTACACTTTACTATTCAATTAAATATTTGAAACCCTGTGAAGTTTTAAAGAGGTGGTTCATTTTTTTTTTTTAATTTTTTAAACATCTTTAAAACATTTTTTTTTAATTTAAATTTTACAGATACCATTCCCTAATGTGACCTTTTAAGAAAATATTTTAAATAATGCTTAATTAAAACGGAAATTTCATTGTGAATTTTTAAACAGGCAATGCAAACATTTTGTTAAAAATGTTAGAATTTAATATATATATATATATATATATATATATATATATATATATATATATATATATATATATATATATATATATATATATATATATATATATATATATATATATATATATATATATATATATATATATATATATATATATATATATATATATATATATATATATATATATATATATTTCCTTAAAACGCAATTAAATAAAATTTTTTTAATTAAAATTTGTTTATAACATATTGTAATGATATTCTTCTTTTTAATTAAAAAAGTCAAAAAACGCAGTTAAAGATTATGTAAGAATAATAAACTTTATATTAATAAAGTTTTATGATTTGTTTGGTACCCATCATTATAATTGATTAAATTTTTATTCGTGTATGCCAAAACTTCTTTTTTCATTCTTGAAACTGAACTCTTATTAAAAATATTTTGTTTTAGATTACACACATAATTAACTCATGAGAAACAAAAATGACTAAACTTAAGAATGTATTATTAAAACAAAAAACTTACAACATTTTTTGATGTAATCTTGATCCATTTTTTAATCTATTTAAATAATAATTTTTCAGCAGATAAAACCTTTTTGCATTTATATACACACATTTATACACACATACACACACACATACATCCATTCATTTATCCATACATACATACATACATACATACATACATACATACATACATACATACATACATACATACATACATACATACATACATACATACATATATACATACACATACATACATACATAAATACGTACATACATACATACATACATACATACATACATACATACATACATACATACATACATACATACATACATACATACATACATACATACATACATACATACATACATGGATGTATGCATACATATATTCATGCATACATACATACATACATACATACATACATACATATATACATACGTAATTACACATTTAAAAAACGTTACTACGAAATAAAAAATGACTTTGTCTAAAATAAATAACTTAATGAACAAAAACATTCTACCGAAAATAAATTAAGTTATCAACTGTTCTAGGCACGGTATATAAACTGTTTGCTAAAGTAAAAAAGAACTTCGAGTTTATACTTTCACTTTATCGTGTAATATGAAACATTTAAAAATATAAAACCCAAAACAAATAAACTGCGTAACTTTTTACCAAAGCTTTTAAATAAATGTTGTTAAACTTTAGCTCATTTATTAAAAAAAGGCCGAAAATATTTTTAATAATAATAATAAAAAATATAATAATAATATTAAAATGATTTTCAAACTATTTAAGTTTGGTGAGTCAAAACTAAATAGCGTTGATATTAACAGCCTTTAAATGTTAGATTTTGGTTAATAAAAATAGTTTAATAAAATAATTTGGTATCAAAAGTTGAGAACTTTGTCTATCCTATTATAAAAGTATTTTTGTATGCATAATCTATTGCATCTTGCGACAACAAATTCTATTCGCCTACCACTCTATTTATTAAGGAGTGTAACCTCCATATATTTTTAGAAAAATCTCGATAAAGTTTTTTATTGCGACGACTCTCGAACAAGTCGCTCTAAAAGCTCACTGGCTCTATAATTCTAATATATTTAGTTGAATTTGATATTTTAAATAACTCAATCAAGTCTTCTTCTCCTTTCTTGTAACGCTGGTAAATCTAAAATATTCTTCCTTTTTTTTGTAATAGATATCTTTCAGTGTTTCAATCCTAGTCAATCTACGTTGTACATTATCCAGTTTATTAGTATCTTTATTACAAAATGGGCTTCATTCTTATACTGTATGTTCAAGCCGTGGCCTAATAATTGACTCGCATAACAACTTAAATATTGCAACATCAAGTTATTTAAATGAAAGTTTTGTAAAATCTAGTGTTCTATTAGCTATTTTTGCAGCACTGATAACATGATTTTCTTATTTAAGGTAGTTTTTGTTTAAAAAATAAAATAAAATAAACAAAGCTTATTTTTATTTATTTCAATTATATACTCTACACATTAAAACAATCCAAAAAGTATTCTTGAAGTTTGTTATCTAGAACAATATTTTTACCTTTTTATTAACCATTTTGAAAAAGCTAGTGTATTATATGTTGGTTCATTTTTTCATTACATAGAGGTTACCAAATAGTTAAAGTTAATTGTTAATCAAAGTAAGATTGGGATCACAAAGCAAAGTAATTTAAGGTTGTAAAAATCAAGCAATTATCAAAAAATGCAAACGTTATGAATTAAGTGTAACACAAAGTTTATCTTGTTACTTTTTACACATAAAGAAATTTTCTTCTCGTATTAAATTTAAATGGTAAAACTGCACAGGCGTTTTTACAAAAAGTTTTATTATCCGAGTTACCTGCATAAACTAGACACCTGATGAAAATAATAAATCTATCGCGTTATCTGTCATCTGAGCTAAAAGATAAAAATCCTGTTATAAAACAAATTATCTGTTTTGCTTATTAATAAAACATTTTTCTTGCTACTTTTTTGTGTGTATTTTTATACCAATAAGAAAATAATTTACAATCGTAACTAATAAAAATAAATATTTACATGACTGGAGCTAGATGAAGGCAAATTTACTCTCATCACCAAGCCTCACAAAAATGTATCCTCAAGCATATACAACGATGTAACAAAGTACAAATAAAAAAAAAAGTGCACAACTTTGAAAACATTTAATTACCAAAAGAGCTTTTTTTAAAGGCTGGTTAGTAAAATTTTGTCAAACCAAAACTGCGTTTTCTCTTGTACAACAATAAGATTTAGCAGATAATATAGTTAGATTATCTGCTAAATCTTATTATTATTATAAATTCTTTCGAAAAAAGAAGTTTTAATTTGCATGCAGACAGAGGCAATTTTACGGAGGTGAAAGAGGGGGTGTGGATGTGTAAACAACCCCAAAGAAAGTGATTTTTAAGTTATATTCAGTGTTTTTACGAATTTCTTAGGCTGTATGACAAAATTCAGTCAGTTTAATTTTCGTTTTAAGGACTTTTTTTGTTTTTTTGAAAAACCAGTTAGTACTTTTAAAGGATTCAACCCCTTTCTAATTTTATTTGTAGAATCGCCTCTGCATGCAGACATCACATAAATAATGAAGACCTTAAGGAGTTTTAGGAAAAATGAGACACTTTCTTGGAGAAGGATGACTTTATATACTTAGATGTTAAAGTCAAAAAAATGAGACTGCAGCAAGATCTCACTTTTTACCTTTTTCAAGAGCAACTAAAGAATAAAAATTTTTTACAAGGGAACAATTAAAAGATATAGAACTTATGTTATATAAGATGTGGAAAATCCAAAATGAGGTGTGCATTGGCGCAAGTCTTGTGTCTTTCATCATGTAAGATGAAAGTCGTCTGTGATATACTCTTCTGGAATGAGATTCCATGGAGATATTAGGATACTCACATCTTCAAGAAATTTCATGATTTATTATTCCTTATTATATCATATATAAAGGAAACTACTGTGAAGTAGTAAAAACATATATCTTTTTAATGCTCTTGTGCTCCTTCAATGACTTGAAACTTGTAAAGTTGGTGGACTTTATATTCATTAACAAGGATAAATCAGAAAAAAATTTATGAAAATTTAAAAATTAATTTTGTTATTTAGGAGAGAATATTGCAGATTTTTCATTGTTTTCAAAAAGTTTTCTGACAAAGAAAAAAATGAAAATCCAATCTTACCAATGTGCCGAGTTAAAAAAAGACGTAGTAACTTTTTCTGCAGTGAAATAAAAATAATCTATAATTAAACGGGCAAAACTTTTTGCTACTTCCTAAAACCATTGGTGAGAGCACTGAATGGATAAAAACTTCAGCGCAAACATGAGAGGAGAACGAAGGTTATCTTGATGAAAATTAAAAAAAATTATCTTAAATAATTACAATAGTTTTTTTTTTCTTATTTATTCAGCCGTTCAAATATTTTCAAGTTCTGTGTTTTATAATATATATGAAAATGGCAAGGACGAGAAGACAGGTTTGCATAATCAAGTCCCTAGATTTTTCAAGATGTTTTTATAAATACGTTGTAACTAAAATTAAAAAATAAATATAAAAATGTTTCAAAGAAGTTTTTACAAAATGCAAAAAAGTTTAATAGAGTCTTTTACAATTTTTTTAAATAAAAGTTAAGAAAGAAATTTAATAATATATAGTAATATATATAATAAAATAATAACATAAAGGTTTTTGTTATATGTATTAAAACATACGATATCGCAATGCTATTTATATTCAAATTACAAAATTATTTTTTCAAAGTAAAACCAAAACAAACAGCAACAGCAACAACAACAACAAAAAAAAAAAAAAAAAAAAAAACATGAAAAAATGAAAACATAAAAGTTAATTTACAATCAAAAGATATTATAAATGCTGTAAATCCATAACAACTTTTTCATAATATAATTGACTATAATGTACACAATTAAAGACTTTAGACCTTTCCATACAAATAAAGTATGCACTATCAGATAATTTTTAAATATAATTTTTTTTAAGACTTAAAAATAATTATATGTTTGATTGTTGTTAAAAAGCAATAGTTTTAGCTCTTGTCTAAACTGTTCAAGAGTTGTAAGTTTTTTAATATCATTACTGATAAACTTTTTCGATACATTAGATCCTGTAATAGTTATTAAGAACTTGGTGAACTCATATATAGTTTTGGGTTGAACAAAGTTGTAATTTGAATATTTAGTGGTGTGTTTGTGTTGAATTTTATTATATAATGACTTGATAATATTATATATAAGATATTTATTATTGTATTATTATTAGTTTTATTCATAAAAATTAGCAGATGAAACAAATTTATTTGGTACAAATTTAATATTTCTAGATTGTTGAACAATGGTCTAGAATGCGACAGGCGGTGTGTATTTGATAACAAATCTGATTGCATGTATATGTTTTCTAAATAGCTTTTTGTCTATGTTTTATTGGTGCTGCACCAAACAATGTTTGCATAATTAAGATAGGAATAAATAAATGAGTAATATATGTATTTTAAACTTGATTGATCTAAGTATGGTTTTGCTTTTTAGAGTTATCTGAATTTTTTTTGAAATTTTATATTCTTGAACATTCTTTTTTTACGATGTATTCTCCAATAATAAGTTTTGGAAGTGTTATAGGAATTTTATTTTTTTTTATGGAAGCGATGAAAAATAGTATACTTGGTTTTAGTTAAATTATTTGAAAGTTTATTCATATTTAACCATTCGGTTAGTTTTTGAAGTTCAATGTTGATCGTTTTAATTAATATTTTTGTAAAACAATGAGAGTAAAATAAATTTGTGTCATCAGCACGTTAGATAGAATCTAGAATATTAGAAGCTTTGCTTTATTTATTAATATAGAGTAAAAACAGAAGTGGTCCTAATATAAAACCATGAGAAACGCCGCAAGTAGTTGTCATATTGTTAGTTTTTCATTGCCAAATGAAATATATTATTTTCTACTAGATAAGTAGCTTTTCAGCAAGCTATGTTTATACTTTTGATTTAATAGCTTTCTAGTTTTTTAATTGAAATACTATGATCAACAGTGTCGAATGCCTTACTAAGATCTATGAAAACACCTAAAGTGAACTTGTTTCTGTCAAAACCTTGAAAAATAATCTGAATGAGATTTTAGAAAGACTCCTTGTTTAAACGAAATAGGTACTCAAGAGATTTTAAGAAATACAAATAAACGTGAAAAATTAGTAACAAAAGTAAAAAAAATTACCATAGTTTAATAACCCTACTAAATTTACAATCATGACCAAAGATTATTTTATTCTGTCAGGGTTAGGGTAAATATAAGTTAATACTGAGTTTACTTGTTTGTTTAGTTAGAAAACTTTATAAATTGAAAACAATTTATAAAATTTAAAAAACCAAAAAAAAAAAAAAAACTTTTTTGGGGAAATGGTTTTGCGACAAGGATTCGGGTTAACATTTTAGGCTAAAACTTGCAGTTGAGAGTTTATACACCCATCACCGAAAAACAGCCGGGTAGATTGACATTTTTAAATTTTGCTTTTTTAAAAGCACCCTTTTATGTAGCAACAATAATACAAAAATATCTCTAAACCATGCTTGTCAGGTATGAAAGTTTCTGAGAACATAATCAACATGAGTCATTTCGTTGGACTCTTCTCCACTAATATCTGAAAAACTTTTTTAAAAGATAAAAATTTTTAGAATCGGCTAAAGTTATGATGGTTTTAATGGACTCAGATATGCTAAATTATTAAAGTTTTAGAACAATATTACACTTTACTATTCAGTTAAATATTTACAGTGAGTTGATACTGTGTGGAGTTTAAAAGGAAAAAAGGCATGCTATCAGAAAAATCTGCCCACCTTTCTTGATCAAAAAAGGATGTAAAAGAGCTTAAATGTGTTTAAACCGATATATTTCTGAAAAATTAAGACTGTAAAGATTACATATTAGTAAGGAAAAAACAAAAAAAAAATTAAGTTTTACGGAATTCTGACTTTCTTTTTAATGCCTCCCATAAGTTTTTGGACAGAGTGATTTTTCTAAGTTTTAGCAGCGTAATCCCAAATTTTCTTCAAATCTGTAACTGATTTTACTGTTTTTCCACTTAATTTCAATTTCTTTTTTATGATAGCCCAATATTTTACAATAGGACGTAATTCGGAGCAAACCAACATCACTCCATTATCATTGTAAAACTTTTGACCAACTTTTGAGTAGTGTATTGTGGCTAAATCAGGGCAAAACAATACTGAAGTACTTCTATGAGCTTTAATTAGTCGTTTTATTCGAGAAAGACAACATTTAACGTATTCCGAAGATTTCGTTGTGCCCAAACAAATACAAATTGGCGATTTTTTGCCGCAAGAGCAAAGTGCCTGCCAAATCACCATTTTTTTCGATAATTTATCAGTCATTACATACTTGTATTCATCACTCGCAATTCCTCTTATTTTAGAAGCATAGTAGCACTGCCAAGGAATTTGTTTAAAATCCATTTTAACATAAGTTTCGTCATCCATCAAAATGCAGCCATTATGTTTTGTTAACAAGTTGTTATACAACTTTCGAGCTCAGCTCTTTGCGGTTGAATTTTTTTTTATCGTTACAATTTGGCATTTTAACTACTTCAAAACTTTGATATCCAAGCCTCTGTCGCCATTTGTGTACAAAAAAAATGGAAACCTTCAATTTTTTCGCTCGAAATCTATCAGATCAATCAGGATGTTTTTCCAATGTTCAAGTCTCCAACCGTTCGAAAGCAAGGATTTGCTGTGCTTTTTTTTCGACCACTTCCTTGTTTTTTCTGAATAGTTTTCCATTCTGTAAATCGTTTAAGAACAGTATCTACAGTACTTCTTGATATTTTTAATGATTTCGCCAACTTTCTATTTGATAAAGTTGGATTTTTTAAGTGTTTGTCCACAACAAAAAATCTTTGTTTTGTTTGCTCGGTTGACATTTTGAAACTAAATATTATTTTTAATTTTTTTTTTTTAGCAAAATGTTCTATTATACAAACACTACCACACACAAAAAAATAATTTCAAATAACGACCGTTAACTAGCTTTACCACACCGCAAAAGATGGGCAGGTTTTTCAGATAGCATGCCTTAATATAAAAAGAAGTAATATTTCCTATCGTGACCTATTATTTTAGAAAAAATAATTTAGGTCTTGTTTAACTAAAATTATATAAATATTTTATCTTGAGCCAAGATAAAGAAAGCTTTAAGAGGTAATCTAGGAATTATGTTGAAAGGTTTTAATTAAATTTATATATGTAGAATATGATCAACCTAATTGGTATTCTACATAATGTTAACAAAAGCAACTGTTACGGTAAGAGATTAAGAGCTATGGTTATTGAATATATTTCAAAGAGATAGCATCATAATTTTTAATGATTTATCTTTATTAAAGAAAAAAATATTTAATATATTTCAAAAGTTTATATTTCATTTTATTTAAGTAGCATTTAGTGTAAGATTTATGCATGTTTTATTTATATTAATAAAGAAAAACCTTATCGCATTCAAAACAGGTGTCAGCAAAGTAATACTAAATTTACGCAAAAAAAAAAAAGCACTCCAAAAAGTTTTTGAAAATCCCAGTAACCCTTCCCTGCAAGAAAGTTATAAAAACCCTCTTTTCTTGGAATGAAGACTAATGGAGAAAAAAGGCATATGTCATTCATTTCCACTTTTAAAACGAAACTTTGTCTTTGAATGAATGTTCGCCATGTTTGTTCTTGCTGTATTTTCTTTGGGTGTTTCTTTAGCATTAGCATTACATAGGCCTTTTTTGGGTTGGATTTTACAAATTTGATAATCTTCAGGCTTATGTTTATATAGTACGGGACATAACTCAAATATTTGGAAAATTTGACGTGTGCTCTTTTTCCCCTGTGCTTTTCAAATATTGAAAAAGACTGCTTTAACTTAAATAAAACTATAGATTATGGTTAGGTTTAATGTTTCTTCAAAATATACTTTTATAAAAAAATGTTATTATATATTCTTAAAAAACCCTTATTTTTTTGAAATTTTAGTTTTTAGAAATATCTAATGTTAGTAAAATTGGGTTAAAAAACTTTAATTCGTTTTTAACCATTTTAATGGTTAAAAACGAATTAAAGTTTTTTAACCCAATTTTACTAACATTAGATATTTCTAAAAACTAAAATTTCAGAAAAATAAGGGTTTTTTAAGAATATATAATAACATTTTTTTATAAAAGTATATTTTGAAGAAACATTAAACCTAACCATAATCTATAGTTTTATTTAAGTTAAAGCAGTCTTTTGATATTTTACTTTCGCTCGGACGTATAATATACATCATTTAAAAATAAAAAAAACATAATCAAATTAACTATGTAATTTTATACAAAAGCTCTTAAATCAATAATATTAAACTCTAGCTCATTTAAGAAAATAAAAAATAAAACTTATGGAGCCGTAAATATTTTTGGTGAAAAAAAAATTAATAATAGACAAATCTTATTTTCATTTTTTTTCAAATATTTACTCTTCTCATTTAAACAAACCGAGAAGTATTCTTTTAATTAACTAGAAAAAAAAAATATGTTTTTATCATCTTATAATAGTTAGTATATTGTTGGTTCATTCTGCCATCATTAAAATTATTTTTTGATCAGAGGAAGATAGGGATCATAATGCGAAGTAATTTAAGGTAGTAAACTCAAGCAATTATCAAACATGGCAATTAATTGGGATTAAATATAATTTAAAGGTTATTTTGTTACTTTGTGTACAAAAAATAATTTTCATTTTGTTATAAAACTTATATTATAAAAATTTTAGGATTTTTTACAAAAGTCCTAAAATTCGAATCATCTTTATAAAATACCAACATTAGCAACGACAACAAAAAAAAATATCAAAAAATTAAAAAGAGTTTTTCTTAGAGCAATAGAGAAAGTGAATAAACTCTTATTTTCAAGTATTTGATAGCCTTTTTCTATAAGAGGTGCTAGACATAACAAAATAAGCTTTTTCAAATGGTTTGTTTGTTTCATTTATATCTATAAGTATATTATCTCTTAAAAAAAGTTATAAAAGTTTTTGATAGAAGAGGACAAAAAGAAAAAAACTTCTCCTTGTTTTTTTGTTACGTTAAAAAAGTATCGCGCTTTTTACGGAAATTTACGACAGCAGACTTTTCAGAAAGTTTCCGTTACTTTTCGGAAAAACCAAGTGTTAAAGGAAATTTCCGTATAAACTACGGAAAATATCCATCATTGCAATAACAGATATTTTCGTATTTAAATGAATATTTCCGTTAACAAGTGACTGATTGCTGTAAAGTAACGGAAAATTTCTGGAAAATCTGCTGCCGCAAATTTCTGTAGAAAGTGCAAAATTTTCTTTAAAAAAAATCATGTTTCAAAAATCTATTTCTTAAACGTTAAAAAAAGAATTACAAGAAAAAATAGATGACATATATATAATCAGCAACTATTAATGATTTGCACTAAGTATTGCATAAAAAAGATAAACAAAAATTTATATATATATATATATATATATATATATATATATATATATATATATATATATATATATATATATATATATATATATATATATATATATAAATATTATATATATGCTTTTAGAGCAAACAACTGTTATCTTTCTTTCTTTTTGCGATTTTTCTCGCATTCTTTTGATTCATCAAATAGTAGACCACGAGCAAAATTATCAGTTCTAAAATAACAATATAAACATTATTAAAATAATAAAAAATAGTTTAAAAGAGTTAAACTAACTTTTTAACTTTTTATTAAAATATAAATATTGTTACTAAATTTTTTTTGTATATAAAAAAAAAAAAAAATTTACTTAGAGTATTTTTCCTCTCCACAAGTATCCACATCCAATACAAGGCTTTCCAATGCTTCCAGATTTCATATTTATACTTTATGCTTTGTGGATTTGAACTTTTTAAACTTTCCATATTATAGCCAACCATATACCAAACAACGCAAATATAAATGCTTTAATAGTGGTCATGAATACAAATCAGAAAACATAGTAAAACTGCAAGTAAAAGTAAAGTCGCAAGAACAAGAACATAGTAAAGTTGCAAATCTTTGTCTCTAGTTTAAGATATTCACTTCTCAAAACAAAAAATATATTATTTGTTTTAAGAAATAAATTTACTGTCCCAAAATGTTTCTTGTTTTAAGAAAAAAATTTGGGGAAGGGAAGTTTATTTCTTAAAACAAGATCAACATTTTTTGCTTTAAGAAGTAAATGTCTTAAACTATGGATTAAGATTTAGGATTTTCATGTGAACAAATGCTACTTGTACTATTTTTTATCAATTATTGTTTAAGATTTATTAGTTAAATTTTATTGATTACTTGGTATTATTTAGAAACTTTTTTATAATTTTTTTTTCACATTACTTTGTCAGAACTTCTATGACGAAAAAATATTTTTTTTCTAAAAAACAATATGTATATTTTTATCTCTTTAGACATTGCTTTTAGGCAACTCTTTATCTTTACCGATAATGTATCTACATATAAAGTATGTAACGATTCCTACATCAGTACAACTTGCTTATTTCCAATTAACTCAAATTCATTCTATAGGTGATCAAATATCCTACAATTGAAGTGCCATCAGATGGTTTCAGAAAATAAAGAGTGTGATCCCACATATATTGCTATCAGATCTAGAAAATATTGTTTTAATTTGCGTTGCAGATTTAAAAATATTTCAAGATATTGTTAAAAACATTTCATATTCTTAACTTTTTGCTTAATTATATGTTTTGCTCAACTATATGTGTATAACTATAAATACTAATGTATAAATAATTGTGCAATTTAAATATTTCTGATAAGTTATCTAAAACACTCAAATATTAAGTTAGAAAATTATAAAGCAATTTTGAGATAACAGGTAAGACATTCCCAAATTTTATTTATATAAAAAAACATAGTTTATACACACACATACACAGGGATGCTTTCCCAAAGTTTATCAACCGGTTCGCAGTGATATTTTCTTACAAATTTTTTTATTTTTTTAATATTAATATTTCCATCAAAATATTATGGTTGTCAGAGTGGCAGACTAAGTCAAGAATATTTAACTATCGTTCATATTCTTTGCAACAATAATGTAATCGGATAAAAGAGAATAAAAAAAAAATTCAACAAGGTGAAAATCACTTTTATTTTATTCATTCATTTCAAGAGATACAAAATTTACATAAAAAGAAACTGAACATAACAAAAAATTGTGAAATTTCATATAATAGTAAATATTATTGTTATAAAGTAGTTATATTATATAAAATACTTCCAAATAGCTAATTGATTTTCAGCATATTTTTTCGGTTTAGATTTTTTAACCCTTATATCATCTGCCGAGTTATGGTTTCTCAACCAAGTTTTTACATAGGAAACTGCGTTCCAATTTTCCAATGGACGACCAACTAAGTTTAATGTCATCAAATTTGATACTGTCTGCACTGTTAATCTGGCTCTTATATCAGTAGTTATGATGTTCATCAATGAAAATCCTCGTTCTGCTTCAGCACTGCTAACGGCAACCGTATTAACCATATTTTTCGCTTTTTGAATGTTTTGTGCAATTTTACTAATTTGTTGATGGCCATTGTTTATTACATTTTCTACATCACGGAAATCATTCTTATCGATATCAAAATTAAAATTTTTCGAAATTTATCAAAATTACTTTCGGTCTCTATCCACGGAACTACAATATCTTCAATTTTCCATGTGCTCGGCGCTAGCAAATTGGCTAGTTCATAAATAATGCTATTATCAATATTTTTTTTGTTACTGTTTGATTCGAGATGAGAACAATCCATCAATCTTAACTTCATATTTTTTATGATGCTGTCAATAAGGGAATCTCTGGGAAGATTTCTAACAATTCTGTTTTCGACGAAGATAATTTTTTTGAATGCTTCAGAGTTTATAACTTCATCCACTTTTTTTTCGTAATGACCGTGACAATCTCTGAGCATTTGAAAAGTGTTAACTGTTCTTCTAATCAGTTGATCTCCCCTGGCAACGTTTATATTTCTAGCTTGAAGGGCATTAGATAGTAGAGAGCACTCCTGTAGGATGTCAATCATTAGAGCTAAATCTACTAGAAAACATTTGTTTTGTAGTCGTTTTGTCATTCCAGACATTTTTTGGTTAGAAGAGAACAACGTATACAAAGCAGGGTAGCTCCGCCATACAGCAAGTGCAGATCTTAGGCTGCACGCAGCCCATCTTGGTCCTTACACTCTTCCAATCTTAATTATATCCAAACTAAGCTCCTGGGAAATGTCATTTAGTTCTTTTTGGTTTTTATTAGATTGATGAAAAATAAAATATATTTTGTCCATAAAAACTTTAAAATGATTAACCTATTTGATATCTTTTCTGGAATCATCTAAAACAAGTTGTAGGCGGTGATTGAGACAGCGCCAAATAATAACATTTGGAAACATCTCTTTTATTCGTACGCTGACTCCAGATTTACAACCGAGCATTACGCTAGCACCGTCAAAACAGAATCCTATTAAATTCAATAATTTGTATCAAATCCAACAACAAGTATTACACCCAACAAACTTTGAAAAATAGTATTCGCATCTTGTACGTCAAGTTCCACAATATCTACGAATATTATTGGGGATATTTCAGAAGATGCTACTATAGAAGATTCTACTTTGATGAAAACTTTAAGCGTTGATTTACTGGAAATGGTGGAAGCTTCATCAATAACAGTACAAATTTTGAAATTATTCTTAATAATTGATATAAAAAATTCTTTTTTAGTTCTTGCGCGATATGCTCTACTATCTTAGTTGCACTACGTCGAGAATGAAGTCCGGTTCCCATGTCCAACCCGTTTTTTACTTGAAGCTCTATTACACTTTCTATGTCTGAAAACGGACGACTTCTTTTCGCTAGACTGTAAACAGTGTTGAAGATTCTAGTAGTAGAACTAATAAATCTTTCGTTCATCTTATCGATGCATTCTGTAAAAGTTTGTTTTTTATGTATCTTGGCATGTTCAACAACTAGTTTGTGTGCTTTTGATACAAAATGTTCACTCAATTTTTTTCTTAAAGGTGCTTGTTGCACTCTTTTGTCTTTCCTCGATGTCGTAACGTTACATTTTTTCCATTCCTGAGATATTAGTTTTGATTCCATTTTTAAACAATACTCACATCCCAATTTCTGATAACTGACAAATAGCCCAATATATTTAATTTTAAACTCCTTCAACTGTTTTGCATTCCAACAGCTTGGTAAATACTACTGTCCTCATTTTGGGAACTAGAAATCTCTAGTATTTCTTCCTGTTAAGTTCTTGAAACTGCTTCTACCTCTGTTATAGTCGACCTGCTATCATTACTTACTGATGTTTCCTCTCTTATTTTTTTCGAGAAATATGTGATTAACATATTTTGTCTCTTCATCTACAAAAAATAAAATAGGTATTTAAAAATTTATAAAAAGATGAATATAAGACCAATAACCAAATAACTTTAGCACAAAGCTATATTTTTATTAAAGAAAAATTATCAGAAACACATGTTAACAATTTGACACTCAAGGATTGAATTAAGGCATCGCGATTTGCGATATCTGTGAAATTATCTGGTCTTCAAAGTTTCAGTTTATGGAAAACCACAAAATTTACGGAATTAAGGCAAATAAACTTTAATTTGTTAGTGAAAATATTATGAAAAACAAAACAATAAATTTATGACTACCAAAGTAATAACACTACAGTGTTATTACTTTTATAACACTCTTTTAAGTGTTATTTATAGTTTGTTAGATTTATAATTTATTGTTTGATTAACAAATAATCAAGCTATTATAAATAAAAATAATTTAGTTAAGTAATTCCAAATTTTAATTGAAGTAGTAATGCAGCTAGAAAAAATACAATGTTAAAAACCTCAGCAACTGTTACGAATACATATTTTTGACGCTGCACGTGCATGTTAATGTTAGCATTTCTAAACTGTTACTAACGGTCCGGAAAAAACGCGCGTTAACTTTAAAATCAACCAATAAAAACACTATTAATCTATATTATGGAGAAATCTAAATAAAAAGGGGAGGGGAGGACTAATTAACTGAAAGATTTCTATAAAGTAAAAAATTAGAATCGCAATGAAAACTAGATAAAATATTCAATTTGTTTATATAAAATTGCACCAAATGCTAAATAAATTTTGTTTAAATAATTTTTGTTTGCCAAAGTAAAAAAATTTTATTTTCCCTTATTTTAATAGCCGGTTCGCACGAACCATAGAATTTACATCTAACGGTTCGCAAGAACCGGTGCGAACCGGTAGGAAAGCATCCCTGCACATACAATATATATATGTGTGTGTATTAACTATGTTTTTTTGTATAAATATATATGTATAAATACATATATTATATGTATATGTATGTATACATATATATATATATATATATATATATATATATATATATATATATATATATATATATATATACAGGGTGTTCGGGATAAATTTGACATATTTATAATTGATTATATTTTTTTGTAGATTAGAGGTATTAACACACACTACAGGTCATTTAAAAGTTTGAACCCTTCTTCATTCATATACAAGATGTCAGAAAGGATGGATGACTGGAACCCACCTGAATCATGGAAGAGAATAACTTGCATCATGATGATTCGTGCCGGCCACCAAAATAAGGATATTATGACTGCTGCCCAATGCTCCCTGAACACAGTAAAAACAATCAGGTATGAACTAGAGACTTGCAATGGTGACTACGAGGATGTAGTAAGAAGAAAGATCCCTAGCAGACGATCTGATTGCGTTCGTACAGCAGAATTCCTCGCAAGTCTGCAGGAACAGGTGTTGAAGAACCCTGGCATTAAAATTCGGGCTTTGTCAAATGAAATGAATGTTGCATCCTCTACTATGAAGCTTGCACTCAATGAAGACCTTCGCTACTACTCATACAAGCGCCACAAAGGTCAGCTACTCACAGAAAAGGCCCGTAAAAAACGTTTGATAAACGCGAAGAAACTTCTAAACAAAGTGAAACATCCTCTAGAACCACAAACAATCTGGTTTTTTTCCGATGAGAAAAACTTTTGCCAGGATCAAAAACACAACACGCAGAATAACAGGTGGCTTGCATGCAGTACAAAGGACATTCCTCGTGTAATGCAGACTAAATTTCCCCAAACTGTGATTGTTTTGGGATGTGCGATGTGATGGCTCCGCATTTTTTCCAAGAGGGCCTCAGGTTGACTTCAGATGGCTACGTGGAGTTGCTGAACACTGTAGTCAAGCCCTGGATAACAAGGGTAGCCAATTGTAGGCCGTATGTATGGCAGCAGGATTCGGCCCCTTGCCATACCTCTGTGAAAAGTCAAAAATGGTTGTCTGAAAATTTCTACGACTTCACCAGTCCAAATGTTTGGCCTCCAAACTCGCCAGACCTTAACCCCATAGATTATTTTGTATGGGGCGCAGTTGAAAAAGACACTAATTGCACTTCCAGTAATACAAAAGCCCAGTTAGTGGATAAAATTAAAACAGTTTTTGAGGCCCTTCCCAGGGAGACTGTAGCATTAGCTTGTTCAAAATTCCGAAGCAGGAATGAAGCAGTGATCGATGCTAATGGTGGTTATTTTGAGTGAATTTTGTTCATAGTATTGTAATTTACTATGCCTGTAATTTTTTTTGTCAACTCATTAAATTTAATGGATACAAAGAAGATTTTCCTTTTTCTTTCGAAACTGTCAAATTTATCCCGAACACCCTGTATATATATATATATATATATATATATATATATATATATATATATATATATATATATATAAGTGTATATATATATATATAATTGTATATATATATATATATATATATATATATATATATATATATATATATATATATATATATATATATATATATATATATATATACACTTATATATATATAATACATATACATTAATATTTATATATATATATATATACATATATATATATATATATATATATATATATATATATATATATATATATATATATATATATATATATATATATATATATACATATATATATATATATATATATATATATATATATATATATATATATATATGTATATAAATATATATATATATATATATATATATATATATATATATATATATATATATATATATATATATATATATATATATATATATATATATATATATATATATATATATATATACTACTTATTTATATATATATATTATATATTTAATTCTTGATTTGTTTCGAATATTAGCTACAAATGTTTCTTTTAAGTTAACAGCCATAAAACACAGCAAGACAAATTAATTTTTTTACCTGACAGTTAATATTTATCACATTAATACATATATATTGTTTTTGTTTGTTTTTTGTTATTTTACTTTTTTGACTATTGCTTTTACTTTATTCTGTTTCTTAATTTTTAATAGGTTGCAGTATTGCAGGTTGAATGTAAGTATACATTCATATAAATATTTTTACTTGTATATCTTATTGTCATATCAATTCACCATAATGAATACTACAAATAGCAATGTGCTGTTTGCAAAGTTAATGTTTTTAAAAATCAGAAAGCTATTTTTTGCGATAACTGCCTCAATTGGGTCTACCTAAAATGTAACAACCTAAATGATATTGACTACTAATTACCAAAAAACTCCTCAAAAAAATGTTCATGGTTTTGTATAAATTGCTTAGCTAGTTTGTTTCCCTCAATAACGAAACAATAACTGACAATGAAAATCCTACAAATTTCGACACTAAAGTTAATGAAACTTATCTAGTATCAGATTTTCAAATAGAGAGCCTCCACTCAATCTTTAACACATTTAATACACATATCAATAACAATAACCAAAACTGAAAAAATCTTAATAAACAGTTATTATACAAATGTTGATGAATTAAAATATATAGCAGCTGACAAATCCTCATTCAATATCTTTCACATCAATATCTCGTCACTCTCAAAACATTTTAATGACCTTGAAAATCTACTCAAATCAACAAATCTTGAATTTGACATGATTGGTATATCGGAAACCAGATTGAATAAAAAATACCCACAAACTAGCAACTTAACACTTAATGGGT